CTAGGGCTGAGAAAAGCTTCCTCACCTGAAACTTAAAAAAAATTGACATAGGCAGGGTTGCCTGGGTGGTGGCTCAGTCGGTTAAGCATCCAGCTTTGACTCAGGTCATGATCTCAGGGTCTGTGGCTTGAAGCCCCACATCAGACTCTGTGCAGACAGCTCAGAGCCTGGAGCCTGCTTCAGATTTTGTGTCTCCCCCCTTCTCTCTGCCTCTCTCCTGCTCACATTCTGTCTCTCTCTCTCTCAAAAATAAATAAACATTTTAAAAAATGTTTAAAAATTTGTCATGGGGGGGACCTTGCAGGCAGCCCATCTTTGGGAATTTGGGGGATTAAGAAAAATCTTTTCTCAGGGAAGGCCTGGTGTCTAAAAGCCTCTTCTCTGTCACATCTGTGTGGCCTGTCGGGCAGCTGGGCGTGCTGCAGACACGTCGGGGAGGAGATTGGACTTTAGGATTCATGAGAACAGGGGCTGTTTTCTCACCACTCTATGGACAGTGACTTGCACAGTGTAGGTGCGTAATAAACATTTATTAAGTGAATACGTAAATTAGTAGATGAACCGCAGAAAAGCCAATTGCCAGGAGCACTCTTTGTAAACAAACACAGGAATAATAAGCTACAGATAGTAACTTAAATATCCATCATGGTTATAGAGGTTAAAAGTGTGTATGTGTGACTTTGCATTTCCCAAAATCATCCATCCACACAAGCAGAGAGATAGAGGGGAGAAAAGATGCAAAAGTAAAATTTTCATAAATAAGGTACTGGTTACATAGATTAAACACAGCTCATGTTAGACTCTAGAACTCTAGTTCAAATAGGAGACTATGCATGCAATTTTGTTAAATGGAAAAAATTAGTTTGCAATGATAGATCAAGTATGACTTCAAATTTGAAAATTTCAAACATTTTGTGTATTTTTCTTATGAAAGATTCCAGAAATGGTAACAATGCTTATCTCTGGATAGTGAGATTATCAGTTATCCTCATTTTCATTGTTTTTTATACTATCCTTTACCTAATGAAGCTCCCCTCCCTCATACTACCTTTATAATCAGAAAAGTAATAAAGTGATTTAAAGATAAAAATAAATTGGGGCGCCTGGGTGGCTTAGTCGGTTAAGCGTCCGACTTTCGCTTAGGTCATGATCTCGCGGTTCGTGGGTTCGAGCCCCGCGTCGGGCTCTGTGCTGACTGCCAGCTCAGAGCCTGGAGCCTGTTTCAGTCTGTGACTCCCTCTCTCTCTGACCCTCCCCTGCTCAAGCTGTCTCTCTCTCTCTCTCCTAGAAATAAATAAAACGTTAAAAAAAATTAAAAAAAAAAAAGATAAAAATAAATCACTCTTTTGCTGTGGCCAAATAGTCTGTATCTCGTCCTAATCTTGCCTAGGGAATCTTTAGGAAGTTAATTATACCATCTTACACCTGGTTTCTCTACTTGGAAAATAGAAATACTAACATTGATATGTGACCTTTCAATTTTACAAGGCGGTTGTGTGATGAAATGGAGTAACGCATAAGAAGGGCATTTGTGGGGATGAGCACTGAGTGTTATGTGGAAACTAATTTGACAATAAACTATTTGTAAAAAAAAAAAAAAAAAAAAAAAAAAAGAAGGGCATTGGGAAGGGGCGCCTGGGTGGCTCAGTCAGTTAAGCTTCCGACTTCAGCTCAGGTCAGGATCCCGTGGTTTAGGGGTTCGAGTCCCAAGTTGGGCTCTGTGCTGACAGCTAGCTCAGAACCTGGAGCCTTAGGATTCTGTGTCTCCCTCTCTCTCTCTCTCTGACCCTCCCCTGCTCACACTGTCCCTCTCTCTCAAAAATAAATAAAACATTTAAAAAAAAAAAGAACGGCATTGGGGAATTACAACACACGTGAAACATATAACACTCCAAAAGGGGATAGGCATTGGGAAAGGGAAGGAAAGGAGAGGAAAAGGGGACAATGAAGAGAAAAGGAAGATAAGAGGTAAAAGCAAATGAGGGTGGCCAGTGGTAATATCTGGAGACATTAGAACAATTCTTTTATAGGAACTGTACGTAAACTTTTGTGTTATAGAATTGGGGAAATTATAAAGTGTTAGATCCAAGATGCTTTTATTCCTGTAAGTTACGCAAAGATGGCATGTGAGGCTCCATAAAAATTAGTCTGGGTCTCTGGCTGCTGTTTCTTTGTGCAGAGGATTTCAGGAAGAGAAAATACATTCCTTCACTTCCCACCCCCTCACACACACAGACACATTCTCCCCCCCCCCCCATCTCTGAGCTTATATGAGTCCTGGATATGGGGTAGTGGTTGAACCAATAAATATTCTCCAATGAATTTCTTAAATTAAGTCCTGGCTAAAAAGGGAAATAAAAATAAAAACAAATCACAGCTTATCATCATAGCTACTTCTTTCCATATCCATTACATGCTCTGTGTCCCTTGATCCAGTCAGTTCACATATTGACGCTCAGTGCCATCATTAAATAAGGAGTGTTAACTAAATCATCCCAGAAGTCCTACTGAGCAGTAAAGTTCTATGAATCTAAGACCATATAGCTATGTTCCTCCCCTTTCACACACCTGTAAAATTGGGAATCAGAGCAAAATGATCACTTCTCCAGTGACACAAACATTCCATTGGCCACTACCTCCATAAATCTCTCTCACTGCTTGCTGGTTTGGCTGACACATTATATAATATAATGTCGTTACTCTGTTTTGCCTTGGGAATGTTATTTAACCATTACAAACTTCAGTTTCTTCCTTTGTAATCTGCGAATAAAAAGAGTACCTACTTTGGGTCATTGTGGAGTTATGTGAGATAGTCTGTGTAGAATGGTTAAGGCAGTGTACAGCACGACCAAAAAATACAATCTAAATTAGATGCTATCCTTGACCTGACAACTTTTTAATTTTTTCCTGAAATTTGTTAAGCTTAGCACAGACATTCGAAGTCTATCCCGAAAGATAAGAGTTTGACTCAGAGACCTATTTCTTGATATAAAACTCTGTCTATGGAACCACATCCCATATAATCTAACGAATGCCATGTTCTTCCACTAAATCTCAAGTAGCTAAAAAGGTTATTATTCTTGAGCCTAGATTTGGCTTCATTGGAGCACACAAAAGTTAAATTCGCATTAGTGTTACAAACTAAATAAAATGAACCCAAATTAATGTATTGTATTTTTACAAAAGGATAAATAGAGCATTTTATTAACACTTTTTTTTTTGCAGCAACAAAATGATAGTCCACATCTTTTCATTCAACACAACAAAAGCTATGATCACATTACATCACTTTGAGACACAAAGCAAAGGATGTTTTTATTTTCTTAAGGTTCAGGGATGGTTTGCGTCTTTAAAACAAATGTTGTGTTTTCTATTTGCTGTAGCAGGCTTCCAGTCACTAGTACAGTACAACGAACAGATCAAATATTCAGAAGAGACAATTAAATACACCAATGATATTTTGCGTTGAATTGGGAAATGCGTTATTATCAGTTAGAACATTATAAAGAGGTCTGATGTTAACTTTTTTAAAGAAAAAAAAAATCATTCCAACCACCCAGACAGCTATCACAAGCAAAATGAAGATAATATACAGACAGGAAATTGTATGCGTTGCACTTATTGCTTGGAACACAAATGTTGCAATTCCTGTTGAGTTGTATTAAGAAATGACAAGCAAAATGCCTCTGCCCCATCTAAAATTCTATGACTCTATGAAAGTAGAAATTGCAGTCCCCTAACCCGACATGAGGTGTATGCTATTTTTGGTTTTTTGTGAAGATTGTTTATTATGTTTTTGTGTATGGATATGTATAAGATATACAGATATATATATATAGATATAATTTTTAATATAATTTATTGTCCTATATATTTAAGACAAAGATCTTTTAAATGGGAATTTAAATAATAAAATTGTCTACTTACAATATCTCTATTAAGTTTATCTTTTCATATTATATATAGCTCTGTGGCACAAGTTTAATATAGTCTTTCATTACTAAGGAAGAAGAATATCTAAACCATATTCTATTTCTTTTGTTGTTAATATTGCATTTTAAGGGCTATATCTCCATAGTAAATTTCTTATTAGATTCTTTATGGTGTGTGTATCTTTTTTTTTTTCTAATGCAAGTTACAACCAGTACAAAGTTGTAATAAAAAATACATTAAAGTCTATTTACTTTTTATATTTTTTGCAAAAAAGTTATGTGATATGCTACATGAAACATCAGATTTTGTTGAAGTGTGAAGTGTTTTATACTGTTAGGTAAATGAATGGAAGAACATGAAGCATACCCCCCACTTTACAAGTTCTCTTTCACAGATATAAGTATATGCACCCAAGCATTTCATAAAAAACACTGCAAGATATTTCTTTTCGGAACCAACAAAATATTCCACATTATGTAATAACAATAATTATTTAGTACACCTTGCTAGTTGCTAGCCCACAATATTCTTCTCTAATTGAGAGATATATCAATTCCATAATTTATATTCAATAAATGTTGCCAACACCTTATATGGCCAACATGACTTCTTCAGTTTTCTTAACAGGACTTCTGCATGATACCTTGCAATACAGTGTAACAAATATATAAGTGCATTTTGCATGATCAAGTAGCTTTGGCTTCCTAACCTTTGTAGGATGGGATGTGCCAACTGGTTTATTTGTGCTTTATTAAATGGTGATGAGTTTTAGCTCACTTGAATCCAATGAAGAACTACTCGCTTCTACAATTTTGACCAGTCAACCATTAAATCACAAACGCAAAAATAGATGAGCTGAATGGAAATGATGGCATTTCACAACTTCTACAGATTGCACTTGATGGAAACTTCATGAGTTTTTTTTTTTTGTTTTTTTGATTCATTTTTACAGCAAGACTTGCCTGGTTGATATGTTTATGTGTTTACATCACTTTTTTTTTAAATTTCTGTGCAATTACAATTAATTTAATCACAAACACTAAAAATAAATCCAGCCATTAACTTTGTTATGAATAATCATCTCGGTTCTTGTAGGTGTATGAGTCTTGTACTTCTTCTTGTACGAACTCCTCTTTCTTTTCCCAACCATTTGGCCAACCCCCATTGGCCTGTGTGGTGGCACCGTAAGACTTGGGGGTACCATAATTTATATAATTTTGAGTAATGTCCCCTGTCTCTTCATCGAGTTCATCTTCATGGATAAATCCGCATTTTTCTTCACTTGTTTCCTCAGGATCTGCCCAGGGTTGCTTCTCTCCTGAGGCAAATATGGCATAAAATATAACTCCGCCATAGTGGACCAGGGCAGCGATCAGGAAAACATACTGCCACTCTTCACGTGACTGTAGTGACAAAAAGTGGCATTGTGAGAACAAACTCCCTGTGTTCACAAAAGCACATCTTCTTTGAATGCTCCACCATCAAGCTTTTCATACAATGTTATCTTGAGGGGAAACCTCTGTTCTGATTATATAAAGCAAATACTGTGTAGAAATTTTCCATAATCCTATGACTTTTCATTAATTAACTTTTTTAAAATCTCAGGATCTGAAATGAAACTCCAGATATATCTGCGGTCTGCTAATTTTTAAAATACCCATAATCTCCCTTTTAGTTTCCATTGATTTACTTATATTTTGTTCTCTTAATTCTTTTGTTTATTTCCTTTTGGTGAACCATGATTTTGAAGTACTATATAAGGACAAATAGCTGATATTATTCTTCCACTGATAACTGTGGAGTCTGAATTGACATTTCCAAATAAAGCTCAGAAGGCTTCTATTTGCATGTTTTAATGATCTAAGAGAAAAAGTGTTTTTTATTGTTGTTTTTTCAAACCAGAAATACAAGAAATATTATAAGGTGTTGGAAAGCATATTGCTTATTGGTTAGGAAATAAGAGCTCTTCGAGAGAGATTTTCTTCTGAGCCTCAATTATCTCCCTTACTCAGAGGTCTGGTGACAGGACCACAAAGAGAATGTCAAACAGAACACAGAAACTCTTTTCTACCATGAGAGAGAATCTTCTAAAACTAAACATTTCCATCTTACCTTATTCTTTGTCATTGCACCAACAATGATAGGGCAAACCATTCCTGACAATGTGCCAACACCATTTGAAATGCCCATTAAGATGCTGGCATATCTCGGAGCAATATCCAAGTGGTTAACATTGAAACCTGAAATATACACACAAGCTTAGGCTCAAAGAATCCTAAATCTCTTAGAAGTGGGTGACTGTAGAATATTCTTTACCACACTCATCACCCTCTTTAGAAGATATTAGGTATCCAGCATGTGCTCAGTAAGTATTTTTTGATACTCTAGCTCAGGGATATAATGGGAGTGGAATGAGGTATGACTTCTTATGCAATACTTAAAATGTGATGCTCATACTACAGAGAGATTTTCACTCAAAAGAAGAAGAAGAAGGGGAGGAGGAGGAGGAAGAGAAGTAAACAGGAGAGAAATTAGTAGTAATAAATCCAAATAATGATTTCTAAGTGTTTATTTTTAGTTTCTAGTAAAAACATGATGAGTAACTTTTTAAAAATCAGAAGATTAAGGAGGAAAGGAGAATTTGTGTGTATATGTGTGTGTGTGTTGACAGCAAAAATCAGTTACATTTATGCATTTAAAACCATATATCTTACCAGAAATAGCAAATCCACTGAATCCCACTGCAAGTACCAAGAATGAGATAGCAACCCCTCTAGTATGAGAATAGCCAACGACCAGAAGCAGTGTTGCTTCCATGCCAAAACCTTCAGATACAAACACAAGGAAACACCTCAGAAATTTGTGCAAATTTGTCCAATGAGCTAAAACTGCTAAAAATGCTCATGCCTATCTGACCTAGCAAACCATTTCAGGAAGTCTATCTTAGAAATAATAACACTAATAATTTATGCACAGGGACTACTGAAGCCTTTCATTTTAATAAAAACACTGAAAACAATCTAAAGTTTCAGTGATGGGCAGGGACAAGTTAGTTATATAGTTACTTAAAACTAGAAGTTATGAAAATTTGAAGATAAATTATTATAAATGAACAACGAAGACACAAACTGAAATGCATGTTTGATATGTACAGAAAAATTACTCACTCATGTAGATCAGCAGTTCATGAGCCAAAATCACGTCCTTAACATCACTTATGTACTTACCACCACAATTCATGATCTTTCTTACGGTAGTAGTTGAAAGAATTTGCTTGCTTCTTAGAAAATCTGCAATCTGCCCTCCAATGGGTACGATAATTGTCATTACCAAGTGTGGCACAGCAGATAACATGCCAACCTGAAGGGGAAAAAAAAAGAAGAGACATACACGTGACCATAGGCAATATGGGCAGTTTAACGGTCTTGGTTTTCTGGATCCATCATAAACTCTTTGTGGAAAAAGAAAGGAAATAAAATACTGTCTCCAAATGACCACTTACCCTTAGAATAAGCAATAACTTCCAGAGAATAAATGAGAAAAGCTAAGTAAATTTACCTTTTGTCTTTTGCAAGAGAATGCTTTTTTCCTGTGTGATAAGTCAGTAAAATTTGAGTTTATGAATAAACTATCTTGAATCTTTTCACAGACTGATTCACATTTATGTGTCCATCTTATATTCTTAAATATGTTTGTAAAATTTCATCATTAGTGAGTGAGAGGGAGACAGACAGAGACAGACTCAGAGGCCAAGAAATATATTTGATAAGGTTAGAAGAGGCTACATTTTTTAATTTTTAAAAAATTCTTAATAAGGCTAAAAACCTTAAGTGCCTTTTAAATATGTATCTCTTATGAGTTTCATATTTAGTTTCTAAGCTAAATTTAGCCTGGGAAATGAAGATCAGTTCTTCAATTTTAGGTATTTTCTTTTCTTTTTTTTTTAATATTTTTAATTTATTTCTAGGAGAGAGAGAGAGAGACAGACAGCATGAGCAGGGGAGGGTCAGAGAGAGAGGGAGTCACAGACTCCGAAACAGGCTCCAGGCTCTGAGCTGGCAGTCAGCACGGAGCCCGACGCGGGGCTCGAACCCACGAACCACGAGGTCACGACCTAAGCGAAAGTCGGACGCTTAACCGACTAAGCCACCCAGGCGCCCCGGTATTTTCTATGTCAAATATCAATCTTTGGTCATATTTTCCTGTAGTGGTGTAAAGTTTCTGTATTAATTTCATGTGAAATTGCTCGTATTTCTAATGTAGCAGCATCAATGCAACACACATTTTTTTGGCTGGCCAATAAGTATGTGAAAGGTACTGTTCTCTAGGCATCATGAAAGCAGGAAGTATGAGTAAAATGCATTTTAATTGTATACATGGACTTAGCAAATTTTGAATACAAACATACAAGGAGGTTTTTGTCCTAAGTGTAATCTGAAGTACATTTCCTGGTAAATTACAAGTACTGGGAAAAAACTGATTATTTGTGTATTTGTGTTTTTATATCTAAATATAGTTTAGATAGACAGATTGATAGATAGATTGATAGATATGTTTAGATGTTTATATGTAGATATACTTTTATATGAATATATATATAGACTATAACTGATTGATTCTTCATAGAAACTCCATGTCATTAGGCCTTGTGCACCCTTCTCTTTGTGCTTCTCCTCTTTGTGCCTCACAGTCTGGATTTCCTCTCTTCCCACCTGTTTCACAGTCCTTTTAGAAATTGCAGGCTACCATGCAACAAAGAGCAGCTACTCAACACTTCTCCTCTGCCCCAAAATGTGATGCTCAAAAGGAATCAATGTGTCCTCTCACTTGGTTGCCTTTTGTAACCTGACCTCTCAAAGTGTTGGTTAATTCAAGCACTCCTTTGATATACCATTTTCAAGAAGCTAATAATGTTTCTATATAAGTACTATATATATGTATATATGTGTGTGTATATATATGTATGTTTCTGCTTTAACAGAGTCAGTCTATCTTAAATGAAGATTATTCTATTGTACTTGTGATTTAGTCGGCAAGATACTCAATTTAACTAAGGTTGGAGAAAACTATCCTCCATTTAAATATATTTTAATGTTTATTTATTTATTTTGAGAGAGAGAGAGAGTGATCATGAGCAGGGCAAGGGGCAGACAGAGAGGGAGAGAGAGAATTCCAAGTAGGTTCTATGCTGTGAGCACAGAGCCTGATGTGAGGTGTGATCTCACCAGCCATGAGATCACAACCTGAGCCAAAATCAAAAGCCAGAAGCTTAACTAACTGAGCCCTCTCCATTTAAATATTTCAGTTTGCTTACATTTTTTGCTGAGGTTCTGCAATTATTTATAGAAGAGAATATTGGGGCTGGCAATCATTCAAACACCAGCCCAAGTTATTATGTATCAATTGTTTATTGTAGACTTTGGATTCAGAGCCATGCCAGCCTGGATCCAAAACCCATGTTATATTTCTTTTACTACCTCCTTCATACATTTTTCAAGGAAGTCTGTGACTTATTTTAAGCCAATATAATAAAAATTTTCAAACTAATCTGTGTGTGTAGAAGTTACCTACAATTTTATTTACAAATATAATAAGCGAATCAAATCAACCTATCTGATTGTTATATCTAGTTTTTGCAAAATATCATTGCTTCTGCTCAAGCATTTTCAATTAAATGGAGCTACAGGGCCAGAATGACCACACAGTTTCATTAACATCAGTTGGCTCCTTCAATTTTTCCCCATGAGACCTGACTTTATTAATAGCCTCTCAGTGTCATATTTGTCCTAGATTATGAAAATGGACTCACACCTCCAGCAGCCTTTGTTGAGAAGTATAACACCTCTCAGAGCTTCCAAAGGCTACCCTGCAATGTTTGATCAGCTCTAGAGAGAAGAGGCCTATCTAAAGCAGCCATTCTTCTCAGGAATGGAGGAAACAGTTTCCTTAGAAACAGGGATCACAAAAGAGCTCTTAGAATAGCTTCTCCGAAACTCAGGTTTTCTTCAATTCCAGGCCTCAGATAGTCTTTCAAGTAGAGACATAATATGAATAGCGAGCCCAGCTGGACGTATGTAATGACATGAAGAGAAATGGCAAGTCCATTGCCAGCACAGACAAGTGTATTCAGTACTCAGCAAAGGGCTCGCCAGAGATGGTATTCAACAGATACTTTATTAAGTGCTTAAATGAATATAGGGTCTACCTGAATTTGAATAGCATAGTAAAGGAAATTGAAACATAAATTAAAGGATCAGGGCTTAAACTTGATTCTGTCATATATTACCAGTGTGGTCTAGGCAATTTAAATACCTTCCCTAATTTGTTTTCCCATCAATAGAAATGATGACAGTTATCCAGCTGGTCAACCAAACAAAGTTGTTTATGAATATGAAAGGACCTTGTAAATTTCAAGCCCTTCTATAAATATAAAGTAGTATTTTCATTTTCATTTTATCCTTACAGATAGTCTCAAAATGATTATATTTTCACAGCTATGAACGAATGTCTAGCATTTAGCATACTGTGCTGTAACTGGTAACTAATTGCTTTCGTCTATATCACCAAGCTGTGAACTCTTGAGAACAGGAACCATGTTTTTATGTCTGAATCCTACACATCTCATACTCGGCATATGCTTGTTAAATGAATAAACTGAATAAATGACACACAAGAATGTTTTCAGATTTTTTTTTGCTATCTCAAATCTTTCAGCCAGACAGATTTTTTTAAGTTTATAAGAAAGTTTTAAATTTTTCCTTTTACTTGAGTGTAGTTAACACACAATGTTACGTTAATTTCAGGTATATGGCAAAGTGCTTCCACAAGTTTATATATTTTGCTACACTCACAAGTGTGGCTACCATCTGTCACCACACAGTGTCATTACAATATCGTTCACTATGTTCCTTATGTTGTGCCATTTAATCCCATGATTTATTTATTCCATAACTGGAAGCCTGTCTCCTGCTCCCCTTCACCCATTTTGCCCATCCCTCATTCCCTATCCCTCTTGTAACCACCAGTTTGTTCTTTGTAGTTACACGTTTGACTCTGTTTTTTGTTTGTTTACTTGTTTTGGTTTTTTTAGATTACACATGGGAGTGAAATCATAAGGTATTTGTCATTCTCAAAGTCTGATGTATTTTATCCCATATAACACTCTCTAGGTCCATATATGTTGTCACCAGTGGCACAATCTCATCCTTTTTGTGGCCGTATAATATTCCAATGTGTGTGTGTATATGTGTGTGGGTGTGTGTATGACGTCTTCATTATCCATTTGTCTATCAATCAGGGCTACACTTTTACATGGAAAAGATATCCAGATAGATTTTCGAAAGCATTGAAGTAGAGATTGGCAATTGTATAAATACAATTCCATTTTAATAAAAGACTGTTTTGTTCACTGTTACATTGTCTCTTGAAGACTTAAAAAAAAAAAGTTATGTTTTTTAACAGGGGAAAGGTTCCAGAGCTGCCCATCCCAACTGACATATAAGCTGCAGGAGGGCAGAGACCAGGCTGATTTTGTCTGTATTTCCATCAACAAAGAGCAGTTTCTAGTAGACAGCTGAAGGAAGCAGAGACACACTCTTTATTTAGTCTTTGTTTCCCACAGGTTATTTGTTAAGTAGATGAACACATAAATGAGTAATGCAATAAATTGAGAAGATAGAATATTGGCAAAGAAACAGTCTTTAGCTGAACACAAAAATAAAACACTGGTTAAACAATGGTAATTTTTACATACCTTGCTGATTTCAAATCCAAAGACTTCCTCAAAATATGCTGGCTGACTAATAAGCAGTAAGTAAAAAGTCCAGCTTCTGCAGAAGTTTGCCACAATTATTGCATAGACAGGCATAGACGTAAAAAATTTTCTCCATGGAGTCTTGAATTTCTGAAATCCCAAACAGAGAGCCATTCTGACCATTTAAAATATTTTCTAACTTAAATGGGAATAATAAGTGCATTTTCAGGATATGTATGTTGGGGCATGAGTAGGAGGTAATGAATAGTTCATTGCAAATCTAATTAACCTTTGCTGCATGAACAATCATTGGAAGAAAAAACGATATCAGCCTCTTCTTCTGAAAAAAAAAATTGCACCCATTTTAGGAATATATGTGATCTTATGTTTATAGAAAACAATTCCGAAAGCACAGATCCTAGTTTCTAAGATTTTTTTTTTTGCAGTGATAGATCATGACTTAGCTAAAGATCATTGTTGTATCAGTGACCTTGTTAGTCTCCAAAATATCTTATATAAAGTATTGAAAATCCAATATAGTTAGGAGAAGAAAAATTAAGAGTGCGATATTCTAGACCCTATCTAAAGTCAAAAATATGACTACAAATCTATAAGTTCTCTTGAAAGACAATGGATATCAATATAAATTCCGTGATGCTGAAGTGCAAGCTTCTATAAAACTCACATGGCATACAGCTGGGTTAAGGTGACCTCCCAGCACACCATGGGCACATAGTAATTAGTTATTTGTGATATTGCAAACATTCAAAATTAACAACCCAAACATGACTGGCTTTGCTTATGATACCCATTAAAAAATTATATCTAGTATACTTAAAGATCCTATATATGCCCCAATACAAAGGAAGTATATTCCCCCTCAGACTAATATTTTTAGATCTGAAAATGTCTCTCCTATTCTCAAACACTTCCTCAGTGACTTTATTTTGAATGTCAAAATACAGTTTGGTGAAGAAACAGTAGCCTAAAATAACTCTGTTTAATGCTAGCTTGGGATCCTTGACCAGACCAAATCAGTAAAAGAGGAGGCAGACATTTTTTAACACAGATTTAGTAATTATTCCTGGATATAGAACCTCATAATTGATAGTACTGATCGTGACTCTAACTAAGCCTTTTCAAGATCACTTTAAAAGTAATATAGTAAGAAGTTATATTGTTGTGGTCACAAATATATATAAGACAAAAAAGAAAAACAAACAAAAACAAAACCATGGCCTAATGACATATAATGAGTACTGTGGCTTTAAAAAATATCCAGTGATGACATCACAGATGAATGTAAAGAGTGTATTTCTTAAAATTCAATATGCTCTGGGAAAACAATGCCAGAAAAATATACTCATTCCACAGAGAATAAAAATTGTCAAATACATGGATGTCAGCATTGTATTATTATGTTTGTATGAAAAATAACTTCAGAATATTATTGAAAGTAAATAACTCTTTTCTGCAGGGAACATGTTTCTATTATTCAGACCTCAAACATCTCTGCTAAGAACTTTTTTCTTCAGGTTGTAAAACATTTCATCAAATGTAAGATAAAATCTCTGGTTTCATACCTTAAAAATTGTTAGAAGTCATAGGAGGGCTTATAGTATTTTGATAACAGTGTACTTACTGACGTGGCTCTTTGCTTCCTAAGTGTACTTGGTTTACAAAAATTAATCAAGTTGTTTGCTTAAGATTTGTGCATTTTACTGTATACATGCTATATTTAATTTTTAAAGGAAAAAATATTTAAAAGACATTACAGACAGCTGCAATGTGTGATCCTTAATAGGAGGCAGATTCCAAAGGAATAGCTGCACAGGACATATGAATACAGAGTAGGTATTCAAATTTGGACAGGTATTAGAAATTTGAATAGGATCTAGGTATTAGGGAATATTAGGGAATTATTCATAATTATTTTAGGTATAATAATAGCACCTAAATGTGAAAGAGTATTTTTATTTCTTTAGAGATGTATATGAAGTTATTTGCTGGTAAAGTGTTATAATACCTCATTTATTCTGAAATCATCCGGAAATAAGAAAAATGAGATAGGTTAGGCAAGATCTTAACCACTGCTGCATCTATTCTGTGGAGACATGGATGTTTCTGTTACTATTCCTTCTGCTTTGCTATATATTAAATTTGTTCACAATAAAAAGTTCAAAATAAAGTACAATTCAATAGCTATAATACAGTCTCATTTGTAATTTTCTTTTGAAGCTACAGGAAAGTATAAAAACATCAGTAAGAAGTAAAATATTTTATTTAGAAAAGCAGTAAGGTAAGGAAATAGGGAGTTTGAGATTATCCATGTCATTTTATCAAGCAAGCTACTAGCAACTCTTCTGAAGGTCATTTCCAGAAAGTGGTTTTCACTCAGACTAAATTTTTGATTTTTTAAAAAAATTATGTTTGATTTAGACACACAATCTCAAGAACTGGTAAGTAAAGGAAGTATATTCACTAAAGAAAATATAGGCCGATCAGATCATTTTAGGCTAGAAATTGAGGCTAAATTCTGAACTCACCATTGATCAGCCTATGTTTAGCTTCTGTGCACAAAAACCACTGCTAGTGGGCCCCAGAGTGCACTGCCAACACCTGCCCCGTCCCCACATCATTGCTTGTTTCCTAAGTAGCCACCATTAGAAACCATCAGTCCATTTACAGAAGAAACAGGAAGGAGAAAGGTCTAATGTCAGTCTGTCCAGTCCATGGGACTGCCATAAGATAAGAACTTTTTTTTAAGTACTGAAGTTTCACTTCTGTGTGATATCCAATATGGGATTTTTCATATTCATTAACGGCCTCAACAACAGTGGGTGATAGACCTTTTGACCTAGGATGAGGTGTCAAAGACAGGCCTTCTCCAACAAATGAAGTAGAGAATCTGCTGGAGTAAAATAAAATTAGAATGAGGAGAGGCACCTTTAAAAGAAAGAGAAGCATAATATGTAGGCGACACTGGCTCTTCAGCCCTGCATGGTACCTCCTAGCTCTCAGCATAAGGAAACTGAGTTACTGTTCAAGTGCTGAATTATCGTACCTATCTAAATACATTAGTTTTAATCCCCATTTTTTAGTAGTACCAGATGGCTATTTATCAATTAATATTTATGATATATTAATGTCACATGGACTAAAATATATGCCTTACTGACACAGAAACTGCATTTTCTCTCTCCATAGATTCCATCCAAGAAATAAAATCAGAATCAGAAAAGGGGTTCATGTTATATGAATATTTTATCCTCATAATGATAATCCTGAAAATTATAAGAGTTTTTCAATAACAAGATTGTATTATGCAAAAAATATTTTATATCAGCTATTATTGACATTCCAATGATTTAATATTTCTTAAACCACATGTAGCATAAATACATATGTTTAAAACCTACATTTAGACAATTCAGTGCACTAATAATAGTCCTTTTCACGATTGTGTTAGATGATCTGGCATGTCCTATGATCTGAAATTAACAAGTATTTGTTGAATTTGTTTAAACTATGGATCATATTCAACTGTATATAAAAACTTATTTAGGTTTATAGTCATAGATATAGCCAAAGGCAAATTGGATGATTAAGAAAAGATAAAAGAAAAAAGAAATTATAGATAAAGGAAGTAGTGATCATTCCTAAGTCAGAAAATAAGGATGGAGGAAAGAAAACAATCATGATTGACACCAAATTGGTTTTGTTGAATCAGGACTCAGAAAGTAGTTTGGTTGGTCAAAGGGAGGTGAGGTGAAGAATAAGAACAGGAATATACACCATAATAAAATTCTTACTTCCATTGCACCTAAAAGATTTGCACTCTCTCCAATGCTTTCTTCAATGTACCTACGTTCTTCATCTGTAATGGTAGGATGCTTTGCAGGACTCTCATAAGACACCAAAAGCCAAAACATGTACCAGATCATTCCAAAGCTTCCTGAAAGCAAGAGTTCAAAAAGAAGAAACTAAAAAATCTATCACAAATGTTCTCATTTAACCATCATTTGCTGGAATAAGACAATAGGAATCTCATGACAGACACATTGTAATAGACTGTGATTTGGAGTTTATGCTTCTCCAACTGACTTCAACTATCTGTGCTTGTGTTATGCCACTAGACTTCAACATTCCTGAGGGTTGGTCCTGTAGTTTACCTCTTTATCTCTATTAAACAATGGTGGTACATGGGAAACCCACAATGAATAATTATTGAATGGTGCAGTTTGGAAGATGTTCATATAGCCAACAAACATTTACTTGGCACTTACTGTTCCAGACACTCTGCTAAGTGAGAGATATATATTTGAACAAGACAAAATTCATGTCTTCAAGGAATTTTATTAAAGTTAAATTCTTTTCTTATTTGCCTTCCATATGAATATATGAGTATATTTCCACAAAGAAGAAATACTCATTTCAATCTCCTGTTTGCACTTTAAGATCTAGTAAACAGACTATTAAATAAAAATCTAGATTATTTCAGCCTGAGTGGCTATCGTTCCTTTAAAAAGTGGACTTCTGCGGCACCTGGGTGGCTCAGTCAATTAAGCATCTGACTTCAGCTCAGGTCATGATCTCATGGTTTGTGGGTTCAAGCGTTGCATTGGGCTCTGTGCTGACAGCTCAGAGCCTGGAGCCTGCTTCACATTCTGTGCCTCCCTCTCTCTCTGCCCCTCCCCCACTCATACTCTGTCTCTCTCTCAAAAATAAACATTAAAAAAAAATTTTAAGTGGGCTTCTATAATTAATGTAGTTACATTTAACACTTTATTTTACTATATACTATGTTATTTTCAGTACACACTACTGCCTATTGATCACCCTCTGGACAGATGAAAGTTACATACAATAAACTGTTTGCATGTTCTTCTCCATCCTTTTCTTTAGCACTTTCAGTATTAAATCATGCCCTTACTGCGCAATGTAAATCTAAAGTATTAATAAAATAAAGAATTCCAAGTGATTTCTTCTGGTTTCCCAGAGGCTGGTCATTTTATTTTTACCTCCTACTGTTCTTATCCCTTGGGTAACAATCTAAGTACTCGGGATCTCTATAATGCTTTCTTCCTGCTTGTTCAATCTCTAAGAATTATTTCTTAATACCACAGATTTTGATGTGCCATGCTTTTTTTCCATTACCAAACATGACAGCAAACACAACTGAGGGTTAGATAGTATCTGAACATTTGCTAGAGTGTAGTGGTTACGGAATATGGGTCTCCCAGAATCAAGTCCTGGCTCTGTCAGTCATTAGCTATATGCTCCAATCAATGACTAAATCTCTGTAACCCTCCACTATAAAATGAGATCAGTCTTTTTTTTATATATAAGGCTGTGGCAAAGAAGAGTTAAAGGAGATAATGCAACTAGTAGCTAGCACAGTGGATGGCACAAAATAAGCACTCAATAAGTGAAAGCTCTTGTAATTCAGTAGTAATTATCATTACCACTAACTGAACGCATTGGCAGTGCCAGACATTCAGTTAATTGCTATATACGCATTATCTATTTTAATGTAAGCCATTGTACAGTTCTTATGTTATTAATTTTTAAATTATTAATACTGAATGTGTGGTTGGCTCTAAGACCTAATTTTTGTTACACACAGTAAGCAAGTACTATGTGATCTTTTCAGAGGATCTAACATCTAAACTTTGTACCATTCAATGATAAATATTAAATGAGATATGACTTACATAATGAGATTGGTTTTCATGAGTGCTTTGTGGAAGTTAATATTCTTCCTTCACTATCACATCATATTTTTAATTAAGTAATAGATTCAATGAAGGCACAAATCAGAGGATTTAATGGTCAGCCATCCCAACTTGGACTACATTTGCTTTATTTTTATTTTTATTTTTTTGAAGAATAAGTATATTTATTTTTTTTTTGAGGGGAGCTTTTTTTTTCCCCCACAAATAGTTTATTGTCAAATTAGTTTCCACATAACACTCAGTGCTCATCCCCACAAGTGTCCTCCTCCATGCCCATCCCCCCCCCCCCCCCCCACCCACCAGTCCTCAGTTTTTGTCAGCATTCAAGAGTCTCTCATGGTTTGCCTCTCTCCCTTTCCCCCACCATTTCCGCCCTTCTTCTCCCCCTTGTTCCTCCGTCAAGTTGCTCCTAATCCTCCTATACGTGCAAACATATGATATTTGTCCTTCTCTGCCTGACTTATTTCGCTCAGCATAACACCCTCAAGGTCCATCCATGTTGCTACACATGGCCAGATTTCATTGTTTCTCATTGCCAGGACTACATTTGCTTTAAACTATACACATTTGCTTTAAACTTCTTTGAATTATGGGCCCTTGAAAATCTAATGAAAGATATGGATTAAAATCTGATAAAAATATCTCCCCAGGAAAAAATGTACAAATGAATGTATGGCTTACAATTTTGGACATTCATGAATCTAAAACCCATCCATGGCTTTTGAACCAGAAGAAGATCTCCTGCTATAAAGCATATTAATCATATTCTCCAAACATGAGACTTTGCTCTGATGAGAACATTTTGAAATGGGAATGGATTATGCCAATTCTGGAAGCAGCCAGATACTGACCGGTTTTACCTCATGACTTCATAAATATTTCAAATTCTCCGGCCCACATCCAAAGATGGTATTAATCAGTGACATCACTCAGAATCTAGCTCTCTTATATCTCTCTTTTTCTCATTGTTAAAAAAAAAGTCTCCTAGAGAGAGACGTTAGGGGTACTTTCAAGTGGTAAGCTTTCTGGTTCTGCTTAGAAAGTGAACAGAAAGGGACTTTAGATTTAAGAGTTTCTGGTCCTTTTTTAATTTCCATTTGAGGGTTTCATTTCATTTAATCCTGGAATAATGAAGATGCAAATATGCTGCTGCTGCAGCTGACGGTTAATATTTCACCACAAACTGCACTGCTGCATTAACACTACTAGTCTCTTGCAGCTTTCTATCCCTCTTCAGCCTTGATGAGGCAAGGTCAGGGAAGTAACCAAGAAAGCAGTAGCAAAGAAAGAGAAGTGGGCGCTCCCAAGCTCTTTCCTTTTAATTGTCTATGAATCAAGGGTTAATTTAACTTTTTTCATAATTAAGGACAACATGTGCCCTACATCACAACAAAGTAGCCACCACAATGTAATTGTTTTTAAAAACAATAAATACCAAAGTAGAGAGAATCAAAAGATGGGGCATTTTCCTGATCTTCCCAAAATATTAAAAAAAAAAAAAAGATTACTAATGGGAAAAAATGTGAGTATATGCAGAAATATATTCAGTGATCTATCACTTCGTTTCAGTTTACATACATTTCTTTTAACTTTATTGTATAGAAATGCAACATACCATAGACATAGAATACTGAGGACCAACCAGTATACTGTACAAGAATGCCAGCTAAAGGCATTGCAATGACAGCTCCAGCGTATGAACCTAAAGTAGAAAAGAGAATGGGAGGAAGGTAAGTGAAATAAATACAAATTCTTGACTTCATCTCATGTTTCTTGAGATGAGGTGTTTCCGCACCTAAGTGCATGCACATTTGTACCCCTGTATCTACAAATACATATATACATCTATATACACAGCCAGTGATACAGGACTACTTACCCAAGACACAAAAGAGGTCTAAAAGTAATGAGAGTATAATAAAAAATAAAGTAAAAAGACTATAATAAAATTTTCCATGAACAAACTTGAAAACTTAGATAAAATGGATGAACTAGAAAAAACACAAAACATAGAAGAAATAGAGGATTTAAGGAGACCAATAAGAATTAAAGAAATTGAAATGGTGGTCAAAAACCTTTGGGGTCAACACCCTCATGTATGCACACGTACGCATGCGTGCACGCATGCAAACACACCCCAAATGGTTTTACAGTTGAACTTTATCAACTTCTGGTTCTTATGCAAGTTGTTCCTAAACTTTTCCCTACCACAATTATATCTGCATGTGGTACTCACCACAAAAGGAGGTGGTTGCCAATCTACTCCTCTCCAGAGGAGGAGCCCATTTGCTCCATATTCCATGACATGCTGGGTAGGTGACACCCTGTGATAGGGAAAGATATGTATCACCATTAAGATGCAGGGTCACTGAAAAATAAGCACATTCTCTTCTCTGAGGCTGTCTCTTTGGAACGGGCCCAAGGAATTAGGAGAAGCTGCTACTCACAGATCTTTGCTAATTCTGTCAAATTTCGCTTTAAGAACTTTCAGCCCAGATCAAGGAAGACATGGCTTCTTTTCAGTGACCTGTCCAAATTCTCCCCAGCCCTCAAGGATTGCTCCATTCATCTGCACCTCTGAACAGCTTGAGAACTGCGGAGGACGTTTTCATGAAGCATTAAGCACAGTGATTCCCAAATATAAGGAATCTATATAGAAGAAGGTAAAACTTAGATCCTTGAAGCTCACACTTCCTAAGAGTTGTATCTAGAACTTAAGACCTTTAAAATCATTATCCATTTTGTGTTATTTTGATCCTACCAAGTTTGTCTTTCTTTTGGAGAGAAGGGTCTTAATGCTTTATCTGATTTATCTACTCCCACTATCCTTCAGGAGAATTCTGAATTCCCAAAGAATATAGTCAATGAAATATTTTAGTGAAAACTCAAATCATGATGCAAGTCCAACAGGGACTTGGTATAAAACTCCCAAAAGGTATTAATTCAAGTTATCACCAGCAAAGGATGGACTCAGAAATTCCTATCACAACATACTAACCAAAGTGCTTGTCTTTTTTTTTTTTTTTTTTAAGTCAAATAGTCATTAACAATTCTTTAGTACCACTCAATTCTCAAGAAGGGGAAGCAAGCAGCCATAGTTGTACTTTAGCATTATTTAAACACAAAATATCTGATTGGTTGGATTTTCCAAGTTTTTTAAGCATACTATGCAGACAGAAACTTATAAAATGTTTACTTATAGCAAGACAAAGGTAACCTGCTAGTTCTGATTAACATGCCAACCTTAAGATGGTGCCATTCTGTGGTTCCATACCTCAACAAGTCCCTGCAATATCCTAACAAAGATGACACACCCATAATGCACTCTGGCTGCTGATGGGATTAGCATATTCAGTGTAGAGGTAAGAAGTATGGCAGCTCCAAAAACCCTGAAAAAGAAAAGGAGTTAATAGTTCTAAATATCTAGATTAAGTTAATTAAAAGCAATTTTAAGTTACATTGTTTTTTCTAAAAGAATAAAATGTGCTCTGGACTTGATTGGCTAGCCACTGCAAATAAAGACTGTGACTATCTTGGAATGTTATATTATTGAAACACAAGAAATAAAAGAAAGATTCACGAAATCCAGTTATATTTTCTTGTATTTCTTTCCTTCGTGGATCGAAGCAAAAATTGCAAATAAGTAACAAATCATTGTATATGTTTTTGGTTTATATCTCAGTCCACAATATAAGCTGTTTACAGGCAAGAGGAGATTTTTTTTTCAGATATACTGTTATATCCTCTTTACAGCACAATACCTGACACATAGTAGATATTCACTGAAAAGGTGTCAAAATAATAATAATAAATGCCTGAATGTCTCACATTATACAACTATTTTCAACAAATTTAGAAGCTGCATATATATAAAAATTTTATGAGTATAATTACATTTTAAATGCCCCAAGAACTCTCATGATCAGATTCAACAGCACATGTATTTATAGTGAAAATAACTATTACTTAATACACATTTTTTCTTTTTTGTGTGTGTGTGAGTGGGGATACTGTCTGAGGCACACCTCTAGCTGTGTACATACACATAATGATTCAGAAAAGAATTACTGGCACTATGGTGCTCACACCTTCATCCACCTACAAGCAAAAAAACACTCTTTTTTTCAATATATCTTTCATAATGTTCATACTAATTAAGAAAAATACCCCCTTAACTGGGTAGCTTTAGAAATATTCTCATGCAGAGAAGTATGGGGACACACTATCTCTAATGAGCTAATTTGTGTGTTCTGTGCAAGTTTTTTCTCTCTCTCTCTCTTTTCTCATGTTTATTTATTTTTGAGAGAGAGAAAGAGACAGATCCCAAGCAGGGGAAGGGGCAGAGAGAGATGGAGACACAGAATCTGAAGCAGGCTCCAGGCTCCAAGCTGTCAGCACAGAGCCCATTGTGGGGCTTGAACTCAGAAACTGTGAGATCATGACCTGAGCAGAAGTTGGATGCTTAACCAACTGAGCCTGGAACGGACTGAGCCACCCAGGCTCCCTGTGCAAGTTTTCCCAAGTCGACCATTGAGCCTTGAATTCAGCGAAGATTGTTGCCTCATAGAAACTCTGATTCTTGCATGGGACACATGTAAGTGTAAGAGTCAAAGCCTGGAGTTTCTGAAAGGGGCCTCGATCATTATTAATCAGCTCCTAAAATTTGAGAAATGACTGTATGAAAGGCTGAAGTGGATCAGCTGTTTTTCTATGAATCATCAATCAGGTCAAATACTTTTGTTTACTTCATGTAACCTAATATCCTCCTGTCCTCAATGGCTTCTCAGGAAGTAAAATACCTGTTTCGCTCTTCCTCTCTGCTCTTTGCTGAATAGGTACCTTTAGGTTTGAGTCAAAGAATGACTTATTTCCTGAATGTCTGTCACAAAAGAGGAACTTCCTATTTCTAAAAATGATTACTCTCATTAAAATGCCACACATCCAGTGACATTAAACTTCTGCCAAACATGGATTTATGTTTTCAGAAAAGAAATGCAAAATCCTGTGAGCTGTCTTTATAAAAGTCCAAAATTGTTATCAATATTGATTTAAAATGTATTTTCACTAATTATTACCTTTCAGTTAAAAGAATTTCAACCTCTCTTAAAAAATGCAATCCCAAAGTTTTTGTGTGCAAATCCCAGGACATTTTGGAGGTTTCCTTTAAGGCTGATAGGAAACGGGAGGAAAATGTATAGGGCGTGTTTCCTGGACCTACTGGTAAATGGTGCATGTTTCCAAAGGCCGGTCTGATGAACATGTTTCTATTGTTCTGGAAGTGTGAATGTTTTACCTGTGTAACAGAGAGGATGAAGGCAGGAAGGGCAAATGACATTGAAGTTTTGGACATATGGGTAGGCTCTCTAGGTACTGCCAGTCTCATGCTGCTGTATCTTTCTATAGTTGTATCTCACTTTGCTTATTATCCTCAATACTGAAGAGACTGACCCTGTTTCAGGCTTTAAGGATAATGAGAACCAGAACTACGTAAGGCAACAGGGTTTTTGAAAGTGCTTGTATGAGTTATACATCTACCCCATTTAGCCCTTCAAAAGAATCTCTTCACACTGTTGTCCATGAACCAGCTACAACAGAATTCCCTGGAGTGCTTATTAAAAATGTAGATTTTTCACACGAGAGTTTCCAAATCAGACTGTGCTAAGAATGAAGCCTGAAATTCTGTGTTTTAATAAGAAACCCAGGTGATAATTTTGCATGCTAAGTTTGTCCAAAAAAAAAAAAAACAAACCCACCATAAGGTATATATCCAGGCTTATCTAATATGTGTGTCTTCTTTTCCAACAATTTTTTGAAAGTATGATGCATGAAGTTTATTTTCTATGCATATAACTTGCAACCATTTCTCCCCATTTGAAGTGTTTTAAAATATGGCTGTCTCTAGACATGTCAGAGAGAGAGGACTTTTATCCATTCTATAGCTCAGGATTCTTCAGCCTCCACACTATTTATATTTCTGGATGAATGCTTCTTTGTTGTGGGGCACTGTGCATTGTATGATGTTTAGCAGCACCCACGGCCTTTATGCGCTAGATGTAGTAGCATTGGCTCCCAAGTTGTAACAACCAAAAAGTCTACAAAAATTGCAAAATGTCCCTTGGGGGACAAAATCATCCAACAGTAGAAATGAATCAATCATGAACTGTTCATTAAGTGTCCATTACAGTTAGACCTAAATCTAATAAACGCTTCTTCAATTTGCTAAACACTAGGCTAACACTTCACATGCCATAAAATCTCCACAACCACTTAACAACCCATGTCATTGGTTGCCATATATTATTAATATACCCATTTTATATATAAACAAACTAAGCCTCAGATAAGTGAAATCAGTTGCACAAGTCGCTAACTAGTTCCAAGTAGAAGAACCCTGGTTCAAATCTAGTCTGTCTGATTCCAAAGCCAGTTGGTTTTACCCCTAGAGTTTTCATCTGATTATGCACACATGTAGTTAGCAATGTGTTTCAGGATTCTCATTGTAAATTTAAATAGTAATCTTCACAAAGCTACTTGAACTCACCCTACTATTCCTGAAAGAAAACACCAACAGATCACTTTCAAAGTTTACTTCCCACTCTCACCCTAAAGAGTGTTTCTAATAATATAATCATATGACATTTTAAATGTTCCTAATTGCAAATGCCTAGATTCTTTTAACTATCCATTTTTCATTATGAGTTGCTATTGGATCATAGAAGTGCACTGACATTTTTTCTATTTAAAAATAAAATCCATCAGACTTTTCAGAACCTCACTTTCTTTTTTAAATTTTATATAATTGTTACCCAAATCAATATCCAAGTACTTACAAATCTGCTTATCAAAATTCTTGCCCAGTATGGGAAGCTTTCACACTTTCTCTTCCTGGGCTACACATAGCCGAAATTAAAGCAGCCACTTCATTCAACATTCATTTATTCATTCACACTCCAATTCTTTGCGAGACTGTATTCAGAGTATGGTGCTGTGCTGAGAAGGAAAAGGAAGCTAAGCCTTACAGAACAATTACTATAATCTCTCTACCTACATTAATTCATTTAATCGTCACCTCTCTGAGTCACACTTTCTTCTCGTTTTACAAATAGGAAAATGGAGAGGCGCCTGGGTGGCTTAGTGGGTTAGGCGTCTGACTTTCGCTTAGGTCATGATCTCGCGGTTCGTGGGTTCGGGCCCCGCGTCGGGCTCTGTGCTGACTGCCAGCTCAGAGCCTGGAGCCTGTTTCAGTCTGTGACTCCCTCTCTCTCTGACCCTCCCCTGCTCACGCTGTCTCTCTCTCTCTCTCTCTCTCTCTCTCTCTCTCCTAGAAATAAATAAAAAAACATTAAAAAAAAAACAAATAGGAAAATGGAGGCAAGAATTATATAAGATAAAAGCAAGCAGCAGAGTGGAGATTGGAATGTAGGGCTCTCTGATGTGAAAATCTGTGCTCTTTCGCCAATATGGTCTACTAGGCACTCAGGAGAAAATATAAGGATGGTCCTTGATGCATTAGGAGAAAGAAAGAGATAAGTAGCAAGAGACAGCTTAAACCAAAGCTCATAACAGGAGTACAAATGAAAAGCAAAAAAGGGAAAATTCCATTTCAGCTGGGGCGACCAAGAAGCAAGCCCTTCATAGGGATACTTTCAGGTTGGGGCTTAGAAGATGAGTGTTAAAAGGAGAAGGAGAAGGAAAAGAAGAAAGAGGAAGAGGAGGAAGAGGAGGAGGCAGAGGAGGAGGAGGAGGAAAATTCCAAAAAGAGGAAGTAGATCAGCAAAGGTTCAAACACATGGAAGAGATTTCATTATATATCAGAAACTCAACCAGTATTTAAAATGGCTGGACATGGTAGTACTATGTACCCTGAGTAAGAGAAGTAAAAATATCAAGGGTGAGATTATGAACAAGGAATTAGTAAGGAGGGTGTGAAGAAATGCAGATTGAACAAGGAAGGCAAGAGCAGGGTCTGTAAGTCCATGACATCTTGGAGATGATATAGCTTAGAGTGATTATAGAAGATAATCAGTGATCAAGCCCTTAAAGTGAAATAAGCACAAAATCTGATTGGAATTAAGGGGCAAGGGATCATTAAGGCCAGGGAGACATAAAGTGATCAGGATCCACGGAACTTTAGGGAAGTTGAGGGACTGTAAAGAAGCAAGGTGCCAAAGTCACTAAAGGGTGATAGAAGGGGAAACAGATGATACAAAAATTTTTATAAGACTCTAGCTTTGTCATTTAATAACTGTGTGACTGGAAAGTTATGTAACTTCTCTGGGTGTCTGATTCCTTGTCTATAAAAAAGGGCAGAGCTGTGTAATAGTCAAGAGGACAAATACTAAGGCTAGACTGCCTGGGTTTGAAGATCATTTCTGTCATGTGTTACTCG